TTGGAGTACTCACTTTACTCCCTGCACCCCTGTCTGCAGATTTAGGCGTAGCTGGTACCGCTCCCGAGTGCTGATCCCTCCAGTTTCAGGCGAGCGTTCGGAGACTACGAGGTAGTTGTTGATGTCCGCAGCCCCGTGTCTCTACTCTTTTATCATTTCTATTTCCCTTCAAACATTTGTACTAGTTTATGGATTTGTATACTTGTATTATGGCCTATAGACGCTCATGACTTGTGACACCCCGGTTAGGGCTGTGTTGGGTGGTATTTCCGCATTTTTTTGATATTTTCCGCTATTCAGTATATTTAAGTCATGGTTACACTATTTTTATGTTGGTTAACTGTTTTAAAAAGGGAATTGGATTTAACTGGCTTTCCTTGTCTTCACGAGAGGCGCCATCATGACCGAGTTCGGGGTTAGGGTCGTGACAAGTTGGTATCAGAGGCTAGGTTACATAGGTCTCACGAGTCATGAGCAGGTTTAGTAGAGTCTCGCGGATTGGTACGGAGACATCTGTATTTATCCTCGAGAGGCTGCAGAGCCTTTAGGAAAAACTTCATATTCTTGAAATTCTTGTCGTGCGAACTTGTTGATCCGAGTACTAAACTTCTATTGTTTTATTCTCTCACAGATGGTGAGGACACGACCTACTGGTTGCGGTGGACGACCCCCAGTACCACCAGTTGTGGCCACCAGAGGCCGAGACGCGGTCGTGGTCGTGGTAGAGGCAGAGCAGCGAGGGCAGCACCTGTAGATCCACCAGCTGCCCCAGTTCAGGACCAGGTTCCAGCTATGGATGCTCCAACAGCACCAGCTTAGGCACCAGGTGTGCCCATTGTGATTCCGGGTCTTAGGAGGCCTTGGCACAAATCTTATCAGTTTGCACTGGCAAGGCTCAGGCGGTTTCAGCCACTACAGCCGCAACTACTTTTCAGGCCAAGGGAGGCAATCAGACTCCCGCCGCTCGCACACTTGACGAACCGGCTCATCCAACCTCGATCTTTGGTTTCATCAGTACTGGCAAAGAAGGCTTTCGTTGTTCGATGTTGCAGCTTGATAAGCCCTCGAAATAACTGGGGCCGATACAATCGAATCAGGTGGCTGAAAGTGAATTCCAACCCCTCGACCTTTTCGGAAAAATATCGCAGCATGATCACGATACGCCAAAAAGATGGGTGAATCTGACCGAGGGTGATTTCGTATGTTTTGTAGAAGTCGATCACCACCGGATCAAGGGGACCCAGTGTGAAGGGGTAAGTGTAAACACTTAAAAAACCCTCCATGTGGGTAGTAATTCTTTCCTCGAGGCTCGGGATCTGATTCACGACCTCATCTCCCCAGCCAATGTACTTCTTCACATCCTTGAGGAGCTTCTTCGATATCAAGCTAAGATATCGAGATGCGTGCTCGCACCGGCCTGGGACGTCGGGGGAATTTTCAATACTAAAATCCTTCTTAATTATACAAGGGTCGGGGGTGATTTCCTCAAGAGTTGGCAGCACCGCCGGTTTGGCCGGCCGGGAGATAGAAGAAGACGACCCTTTATCTTTTTTGGGGACCATTTTGGATGTTTTAGCCATGATTGTAAGCTAAAGAATACGGGTTTCACAGGGATGTGGTGTTTCTTACAAGAGCTTGTCGTTTTCTGGCGCTTAAAGAGGCGGTGGAAATGGGTGATTAGAGAAAGAGATGAAGATGGGAAAGATGTAAAGAAAGGGTAAAGTTCTTTACTCGGAGGAATCGCCTCATATTTATAGAAGGGCAACGACGGTTCGACGGTGCTAGTGGCCGACCAATACTGGCGTGCATTCAATATTATGGGAAAGTGGACCGACGGGACGTTTCGGTCACTTCGAACACCTGCATCATAGAGATAATGTCATCACTAAAGGCTTCGAGGAAGCGAGGATCAAAAACATTTCTTATCATCTTACTCTAATAAATGCAGGGACTATCTATATGCGGTCAAATCGTATACCTCCGACTTATATGCTCGAGGGCTCGTCCTGAGTTCGAGTTCGGGAAAAATCAAGTTCGAGCTCGAGGAACCAGACCCGAGTTCGAAGGCGAAGCACGATGCATACCGAGGACGAGTGTGTTGGACCCTGAAATAGTACCGTTATGGATTTATACCAGAACGAGTTAGATTCCTGCCACGTCCCCAAAGTCATGGCGCAAATCCTGGAATATGATTGTACTATTCTGTACTAGGCGGTTAGACAACTGTATTAAGAATATTCCTTATTGTAAATCGAAATATTCCTTATTTAGGGTTCCCCTATTAAATAAAAGGGACCCCAATCATTGTAATACCACAAAATCACTGAGAAAAGAATATACTCTCTACCTCTTCGCCTACTGTTCATCAACATTGTCCTTTAGCTCCATTGTTCTTACTTTATTTTTATTGCTTAATTGTTCTTACTGCCCTAAGCCACCTCGAGGTCATTAAGCTCGAGGTCACTGCTGCCAAGTAATATTGGTTTGATTCACTTTTATCTTTCATTTCTACTTCATATTTCTTGATTATTAATTGGTATTGAACTAAATCATATATCTTTAAAACTACTAATCAAATTTAATTGTTACTCGTATTATATATATGCATATATATATATTTGGTATTGGCTTGCCTGGCAGTGGTGTCCGGCGCCATCACGACCTTTAACGAATTTTGGGTCGTGACAGTTTACAAGTTTTTTTTTTTGTTAAAAAAGTTATAGGTTTAGTATTGCTTATTTTCTTTTTCTTTTTTAGACCTCCTTTTCTTAGTATAATTAATTTAATTTGATTATACAAAATGAGCTACAGTAATTTATTCTTTTTCTAGTCTGTTGAAAATAATTCACATAGTATTTCTTATTAACTAAAGCAATAACATAATTTACATTTTACTCTTAAAAAATTATTATTTTCTATCGATTTGATAATCTTGTTTGAGTCTTCTAAATGAACTTGTGAATAATTTTTCAAAAAAAAAAAAGATACTTAAGTTTTCGAGGATTGTATGCGATGCTGAAATTGAAAAAGAAGCATGATAACTTATAAATTCAAAGTGATTGAATTATAAAGTTGAAATAAATTTTTAGTTGAATATATTGACCGATGATTGAGAACTTCTTTAAAGATCCATCATTTTAGGGAATATTAACTTTTATTTTATAACTCAAATATAATATTTTAATATATTATTCATATAATATTTTTAAAAAAAAATTCTTATTTGATAGTATACACGCGCAAAGCTCGTATCATAAAACTGGTATATATATAAAATTAACCTCAACTAATTTGAAACTCATGCTTAATTATATTTGTGTCGCTGTACCGTTTGGCTGGCAACACAAGCTCCTAAAAGTTAGTAGCTGATTTCTTGACTGTTGACTTTGACTATAGAGCGATGACACTAAAAAAAAGACATGAAACCCGGGTAAAAGACAGGTCAGCAGTGACATGTCATCAAGACTTCCAGATATGGTTGGCTAACTAATCAGATCTCCTCCAACATGTGACAAATCGGCCGTCCAAGAAATAGCCACTTTTTTGCCTCCATTTCTGTGATTTGTTTTAAGCATCTCACCTCCTTTAGAGGGAATCTGTGTTTGACTTCTATACATTTTAAATGTTTTCTACGCGTTTTGGATTCTAATTGAAATATAATGCATCTTGAAAATTAAAGATGTTACAAACTAATACTTATAAACTTTTTTTTTCATTAGAAACACCATCTTGTGGGAGGTTGAACCTTTATCAGTATATTAGTGAAAAAAATGAAACTAAATACACATAGAAGATCAGCAATAGAGTAATTTACCTCTTCATATATAGTATTGTTGTATAACTATTGCCAAACTATATAGAAGATTCCCTTTCTTGCTATATATAGTAGCAATCTCTTACCTCTTGGTAAATACTTTGAAATGAGGACATTCTTTCTCTTATACTATGATAGCGTACAATAATTTACTCAAGCAAATAAGTTTAGGAGTTTAAATTATATACAAAGACAGTATAAAGAATTTTTTATACTATCATGCAGTCAATTAGAGAGATCTAAAAGTAACTTTTCATAAAAATAGAATTTATAATCTTGAAATTATGATGAGTTACATGTTACAACAGTTAAAAATGTTCATAATGTAAATTTTCGTATATTATTGATGTACACAAACCACGTGAACTCTAAGGTTAAAAAAACTAGTGTAGCTAAACTTAAACGAAGGGTAATTATATTCCTAATGATGGTCGAAACGTACAAATTTTTGTAGCAACTTGACGATAATAAAGGCTGTAGTAATGAAAAGATTTAAAAGAAAAAAAAAAGCCTAAGAATTTTATTTTTAGCTTCATGAGTTTATATTTTCTTTAGTGACATTCTTGTTTGTCATCAAAGAAGAATAAGGACAATTTCGCAAGTCGTAGCACGTGCGGGTCCTCTTGGCTTATCTTGTGGAAGACAGAGTTGGTATAACTTTAAGACCTGTTGAGCAATGAGGCAAATTAAGTATAATGAAAACATTGTCATGAAGAAATTAAAAAGAGGTGATCGGTCGTCTCTATTAAATGATTAAAAATGGAATTTATATACAAATAGCCGATTGGATTCACTATGTACATTATACACTAATTTATATACAATTATATATGTGTGTGTGTTCGTCGGTCGATTTTAGTTTAAGTGGTTAGTTGGCAGCTGTTTAGGTAATTCTTTAAAAATTAAAAGAAAACATAAATGTATGCTATACAATTTGTGAATTAAACTCAATCACTTGGTTAGGTTCTTGGCCGGTTCAAACGTGATAACCGTTCACTTTTATATATCCTTCATATAATTAATATCATAATAACCTAAAAATATTTTCTTTCAAAACTTTTTGATGGGGGACCAACACAAAACGGGGAGGGGTCCTGTAGAGTAGGGACCATATTGTATACTTAAAAATCTCATACTCTACATCTCTATAAATAGCCATGCATTAGCCTCACATCTTCAGCAAAGTCTCAACTCCCAACCATAAAACAGTACTCAATACAATCAATAAGTAACAAAATGGCTATTAATGACCAAAAGCAATATCATCATTTTCCATTTCTTTTCCTCCTTTTTCTTGCAATATGTTTGCAACACTCTTGTGGATACTCTCACAATGGAGGGCATAGTGGTTGGAACAACGCCCATGCAACATTCTATGGTGGTGCTGATGCTTCCGGTACAATGGGTATGTATTTACGCTAATTCTTAAAATATTGGCGTAAGAGTAGAGAAGCCGAAATTCAGAATCTAGAGTACGTCATTAGGTCATTGCCTTCTAATAGAGTATATGATATTATTATAAGTGTACATTACGAATTCTTTGAAGGGGAGTCTTGGATTAACAGTAAAAGTTGTCGATGTATGACTAGGAGGTCATGGATTCAAGCCAAAGAAATAATAGTCTCTTATAAGAACTTTTGAACCTCGTGCAGAGCGGAAGCATAGTGCACCATGGTTGCCTCTTCTTTTATATAAACATACGTATACATAGTTCGAGCCATATGACCCATTATGGTGTTACTTTTACGTCATGTACTCAAGATTTAATCTTGTTTGGAACATAATTTTTTCAGGTGGAGCATGTGGATATGGCAACTTGTATAGCCAAGGTTATGGTACAAACACTGCAGCCTTGAGTACTGCACTCTTTAACAGTGGGTTGAGTTGTGGTTCTTGCTATGAACTCAAGTGCAATGTAAATGCAGAGCATCGATGGTGTCTAGCTGGTATTATCACTGTCACAGCCACCAATTTCTGCCCGCCAAATTATGCACCGGCTAATAATAATGGTGGCTGGTGCAATCCCCCTCTTCAACACTTTGATTTGGCTGAGCCTGCTTTCTTGAAAATTGCTCTATATAGAGCTGGCATTGTCCCTGTCCTTTATAGAAGGTACTCTTTCCGTCCCAATTTATGTACTAATGTTCGATTGCGCACAGAATTTAAGTATGAAATTTACGTGGTGATTTCTTTAATTAATGTTTATACACTTAAAAGAATTTTCTCCTAGTTATATATATATATATATATAATACGATTTTTCAAAGAAGGGAATTCGGTTGAAACTCGTTGGTAAAAGTGGCTCCATTGCTGCGGTGACATGGCAATTAAGTGTTATATCTCAGCACCAAAAAATTGATATTCCGATTTTTTGTGTCTTTTAAGTAATTCACACATCATTCATTTAATTTAATATGAAAAAAATATCTTTTTGACTTTACTGTTATAGTGATTAGAGCTTTGTGACTATACATGAAGTTTACCCCCTAAAACATATATAACCTTCATAATTTGACTATGATTATACAGAATTTCATACATACTACCTTCCTCCTCTTTCATCTTTGACTTGGAACACTTTGTGAAACTCACATAAAGACAATGATATATTCTAGATCTGGGTTTTAAGTTTTATAAGTTCAATTTTTAAGATTTTTAATATTGAATTTATTGTAATTTTATAATTAATATAGTATTTGTTGCAATTGTAGTAAATTTTTACCTATAAATTTATACTTCAAAAATATTGGGTTCAAGATGAATCCGGTACTGCAATGCTACATTCGCCCATGTCTAAAGGAGATTGTTTTATGGTATATGTATGGCAGGGTGTCTTGCAGGAAGAAAGGAGGAATGAGGTTCACCATTAATGGCCATTCCTACTTTAATCTTGTATTGATAACCAACGTTGGAGGTGCTGGAGACATCCGATCAGTGGCCATAAAAGGATCAAGAACAGGATGGCAAGACATGTCAAGAAATTGGGGTCAAAATTGGCAGAGTCACTCTTACTTTAATGGCCAAAGCCTTTCTTTCAAAGTCACAGCAAGTAATGGCAAGACAATTACTAGCTACAACGTCGCTCCTGCCAATTGGCAATTTGGTCAAACTTTTGAAGGAGGTCAATTCTAAAATAAGTTACATGTTTTGATACTCAGCCAGTGCTTTTAAGGAGGTCTTTATTTTTCAAACAATATATGTACGTACGAAGTTATTTTCGTCAAAAAGAAAGTGGAAAGGTCGGAATTAAGTGTCTATGCCCTGTTGATTAGTGTCGCAAATTTATAATGCTAGGTCTAACGACAGCACCTGGCAAGAATTACAACAAATGAATGTAGAAACATGTTTATGTTATATATTTTAATTGATGTGAATATATTATTACTTTAGTTCTGGTATCCGAAAATATGAAATGATTTTAGAAACAATTTGTAGTGTCTCAAAGTAAATATCAATTTAGGAGACCTACATGTTTCTCCTTGCAGAAGCAGATCCATTACTGCCACGGCCTGTCGGTAAAACCTACCACAAAGCGAAAATAGCCTAAATATCTTCTAGAAAATGCAGAGAAATCTATTCTTAAACCTGTCGTCATCGCCTAATGAAAAAGCGTACATTTTCTCACTCGTAATATTGTATTTATATCATATAAGTGGAAATTTTAGGAGAAGGACGAACTAACAGATTAACGGGCTAGTTAGCACCCCTTATGATTAGACCCCGACCAAATAGCACTTTTCCAACACCAATCAAATATGCGTTTTGGAGTTTTGAGATTACCCGATTTTAACATTTATTAGTTTTACCTTTTGGTTAGTTCCCGAGTCGCAGTATTACTTTAAGAAAGATCATAGTAGGGTGTAAAATAGCTATGCTGTCCAAAATCTGGTCCTACTCAGCATTTTCTAGTTTCTTATCCTCCACTTATAACAGTACTCAAATATGCAGAAAACATTAAACAATCTCTTCTTTAAACGCGGCTTCAGAAATTGAAAAGGAAAAAATTCAAGTAATGTCTTTTTCCGAACAAGGGAAAAATCTTAAGTGATACCAACTAGAGACTAGAAAAGTCATTAAACATAGGGGATGTTTGGCGATGACTTCATTTGCAAATACTGAAATTGTTATTTGCAAGTTGAAAGTTTGACCTTCTGCATTTGCAAATATTGAACTTCAATATTTGAAATACTAGTGAAATATTAGTGACATTTTCTACAGAGAGAATAATCTCAAACCAAGAGAAGATAATTGTGCAGCAAAATTTGAGAAATTTACACATCCAAAACAACCAAGTATACATTCTTTTCCAAAGGGAAATTTACCATCAAACAAAGATAGTACACAAGAAACAACCAAAACACCAATATACACCAAAAACACCACCATCTCTCCCTTTCTAGAACCAAATGCTGCATGTTTCAAAACTCTATTAACTAATAATTAAGCAAAGAATACTTTAATCTCAAAACAATTTTGCCTTTCTCAACACCAAGCTTTCCGCCTGTGACAATCCAATGACCTGGAGGATCTTGAGGTCCCTTGCTCATTTCTGTCATGTCAACAAACTTTGCCAACTTATTGCCTATAAAATTCTCCCCTGTAATTGAACTTTCATCGTTATTCCCATTATCGGCCTGTTTCCTTAACTTATCATTTGGTGTATGGTCCCATAATGATCTCCTAATAGTGCAGCCCGGTAACCTTGAATACAACAGCCTCATATACAAAACGTTTCTCGACCCAAAATTCCAGACCCCAAGCTGAGCTCCCGTAACTATGTACACACCAGACAGATCGCCTATGAAAGTTTCAGGGCTCTCAATGGGTGCAGTACTCACATATGAGAAGTTCTTCCATTTCACTGGCTCAAACCATCTACTATCTTGTTCTTCTGGACCTTGCCACTTTGGAGCGCCAATTGCGACATGACTCTCCCAGTATGGTTGTAGGATCCTAGGAAGAGAAGCGAAATGTTGAAGATGGATGACTAGTCGATTCCCCTTGGACCCTTCAAGATATAGCCGCATGCCAGTCACGGGTTTACGTCCCACTGACACCTGTAGTGGATAAAGACCAAGAGCAGAGGTCAGGCCATTAAATTATTCACTATTACTAAACAAAAAGACGACGCCTGATATATCTCAAAACGAGACTGCCAGACAATTGGTGAGAAACTTCATGGAATAAACAAGTAATGACCAGATAACCTTCTTAAATTTAGAAACAAAGACAGTAGCATACTTGTTCTTGGCTAACATAGAGCTTTTGCCCCATCATGCTGAACTGAAGAGACGGACATACAGGTTCCTTTCGTTGTTGGTTAGGAAGTCTGTCATGTACAGGGGCCCATACTCTTGGGACCTGAAACTCCAGGAAATATCTAAGCTCCTCAATTTGAGGTTTATCTGCAAAAATTTATTCACAAGAATCACTTATCACCAACAAATTACTTATATATTTATGTCTTAAATTGATATAGTATCTTACATTCAAGATAAAGACTTATGGCCCGTGCCAAATGATCCTTCCCTTTGACCCCTTCAAGGAGAAGAGTGATTGGGTAAAACGACATCTCAATGACATCTGGCGAAGATCTAACAGTCTTTTCCCATTGAGTATGGCTTTGTTCAAGATCATCCCCTCCCCTTCTTCTGAAAATGACTGTAACATCCTGCATGAGATACATTCAAAACCTCAAGCTCATTTCAATATTCAAAAAAGTTAGGGAAGTTTACACTCAAGATACACAGCCTGTTGTCGTCCAAAACAAAAGGAAAAAAAAATCATCAACAGATTAATAAAAACATGCTAGTAATGCTAAAAAAAATGCTAGTAATAGCATCGACCTCCAAAGCAAATTGACACCAATACGATCTAAAATTGACAGTCAGAGACACACACAGAGAGAACTCCCCCATTCTCCATCTCTTGCTTCAATGGTCTAGCTGGTGCAGAGTACTAATTTGAAGGAAAATTCTTGTCAAGTCAATTCTAGGGGAAAAAAATTGGGAAAGCAGTTCATTCAATAGCTTCCTGGCGACTACATAGAGCTATGGCAGTATATCAGATTTTAACATGTCAAAGCAGCAGACAAATTTTTAACCAAATTTCATGCTTCATTTTTAAAAGAACAATGATAAAATTCAAAGGGAGTAGTGTACATTTCCGTAATACTACCTCTATCCCATTTGATATGAATTTTCTGATGAGAAGTTGGTCAATTCATTAAAAAGGCTTTCAGTTTTTAAAACTTGTGGAAATTACACAAATAGTATTATGTGTTGAGCTATGTCAAAAACTTTGAAAGGTCTCAAAATTTGAAGTGTGTAACACAGTTGGGTTGGTGGGAATATCGAATAGCCTTTGCAGCACTATGAACATTAAAAGAACCATTACAAGGCAAAACAATTAGTAAGAGGATAAAGGGATTATTTAGCCCTTTACATTTAATAAAGTATTAGTCCTCTAACATATATCGGCTAACATGCACCCTCTTGTATTGGAACAGATCACACACCATGAATTTTGCCTCTGTGTGTCATCATAAGGTAATCCCAGTGAAGCTTTCGAGATTTAGAAAGTTATAAAAGAAACCAACAAAAAAGAAGGAAAAGGGAGGAAGGTCACACACCTCTTTTCCATTTCCGGGAATATATGGTGCACTACTGGGTTGGGGATATACCCCCTGATTATTGAAGAGCGATGGATCATTAGCCTGTTAAATTGAACAAAAGGAAAAGTCAAAAGACAAGCATTACAGTATATCTCAAAGGATGAAACGGACTATAAATAAAACAGCAATAAAGAAAGGTTTTTAGAGATTGAAAACAAAGAAATAAATTGGAACTAGCCTTATCCTTGTATCTCAATAAACCTGAACTTGTAAGGCTTTCTGCGCTGGAGAACCTCTGATTTCCAACATCTTGAACGTAGTTTTTTACTTCCACAGTGGACAGAGGTGATGATATGTGCTGTTTAACATAAATTACATCTTTTCCACCGATAGTTACAGATGTGATTACATGCGTCCCAAAATTTTCAATGAAGCTGTAAGACACAGGAGTAACACTTGCATTAGATTATGATAGAAGCTCTAGAAAAAGGTATCTTATATCTCAACAATAGACAAAATTCACTTGCACAAAAAAATAATTAAGATAATTCCTACCTTGCCAATGCTGGTGGATCCCATGACGTAGGGACAGCTCTTTTAACATTTTCCTGTAAGACCAGTGGGGAGGTCATGAGTTGAAGCTTAGAAAGCGGCATGAAAAATCCATCCATACAAAGTGTCTTTGTAGTGGCAGAATCTACATGCTTTGAACCAGTGTAACTGAACACAACATTGAAGCTACCAAGAGGAGCATGGTCTGAAAGATTAGCCCGTTTATTAAAATACTCCACCATCTGCAATCAACAGTAATAAAACACATTAGAGGGGTAAAAGTTTAGCAAACATGCATTCACCACAAGTATCAGTATCTAAATCAACAACATATGGAAGCCATCACACTTATGACTTAACTAAGTTTCAATCAGAAAGTTTGAAGGTACCACGTAAAGGTCAATGGAATACAGAAATGAGGCTTAGAAAATTATAATTCACACAAAAAAAAAAATATCCAAGAATTATGACGGTGATACAGAGATGAGGGGAGATCCATTTCTGGACATAGATTTCACATGAAGAGAGCCAGCGACATTGATGGAAAAGTCAAGCACCAATATGTGTATGTATGTGTTCTGTTTGTGTTAGTCAATGACTTCTCTGCGAATGTAGCTTACTCTTAAAAATCACGTTTTGGATCACGAGAATACATCATAGAAGTACCATCATAGCATGTTCTCCTTCAATGAAAATAAACAGATAAAGGTGATGTTCACATACTTCAGCATAGTAGCCTCAATATCCTTAATGATCATGGGGTAGCATGATGAGGCGTAATTATTCAGTCCCTTACAAATTGTTTATTTGGAACTTGACCACTATATTAGCCTTTGCAGCATTCCCGTTTAACTAAACAAATTAGTCTGAGACAGAAATCTCCAAAGATAAGGTCATAGAAAGCTTCTAATATTTAATTTTTCTAACTGTTTATACTTGGTGATGGTATTGATATGCAAATCATTGCATTGGTTTTCATGTAAGATAATTTTCACACATTTTACTTCATTGGATTGTTTTTTATTGATTTAGGGAAAGGCACATCCTAATCAGTAGATATAGGCCAGGCGTATTCTTGTGGCAAAAATTTGGTACCAACGCTATCCTCACCCTTAAGTACTTGAACTAAATATGAGATAGTCCCCTGTATAACGAATCTTGTAGACAATCAACCTTTAACTCCATTTTGTAAACCGCCACGTTGTTAGTTGCCCGATAG